TACAATAGCAAATTGTTTGAGTTAGGTAGGTTATATAATATGTAAGTATGCAATTTAAAAAATGAAATTTTCACAACATTTTTAATTCGTAAAAATATTTCTATCTCAACTTATTAAAATTTAAACTTAAATAAATACTAAAAATAAAGAATGTTTCATAAATTTTTTAACATATCTTTTAATAATAAATAGGTACCTAGTTATAATTGTATTGTATTATTTATAAAAAAAAAAAAATATCAAAATAAAAAAAATGTTTGCAATTGTTGTATTTCCTACTAGGTATATGAAAATAACTAGATTAAATTAAACTGTATCAGATTATTAGTAACTGTTTATATAATACCTAAACATAAAATCACTTTTCATGTTAACAGATCGATTCAGAAAATAAATTTTTCGTATGGCCCATTTTAAATAGATTAAAGGTAAGCTATAGAGTATAGCTCTATAGGTGGTACATTTAAAAAGTTGTTTTCTACATTTCCAATATTTGTTCTTAAAAATGCGTTCACAACTTTGGACAGACTCGTGGAATGAGAAACTGATTGATATTTGTGTACATTCTATAATCTTTTTAACAGTTCTGAGTTCTAGAGATTATTGAAATTACCATTTATTTAGACGTGTGATATAATTTTCAAAATAATTAAATGCGTATTATACTTATTTTAATGTTGTCTCCCTTTTAAAAATGTGTCATTTACATTTGGTTTTATTTAATTTTTATCAACTATACGACGGTATTTTATTTTTTAGATTCGTTCTAGAATGGTAGCATTTAGTTTGCTGACTTTTGAGTACCTATTAAGATATTTTTATGTAATTAATTTCTGATACAAAGTAACTTGACCGTAATATTGGTTCGACTAAATACATTGTTAAATTATTTTCATTCTCACTTAATATTTTAAAAAACGTTTTTATAAACATGTAGTTCTATATTATATCATATTCATAATACCTTATATAAACTATAATATTATGATCTAGAGACCAGCTTGGTATGAAATGATTAATTATAAATGTAAAGTGCATGCAGTATTCTCTAACATAATCTTGTGAAATGGTGAACAAATTGAGAAACTAGTACTAAGCACAGCTTGTAAAGCATTTGGTATTTTATTTTACAGAAAAATCTGCCTTAATCGTTAAATAGTCAGTGCAGATTACTCAACAAATATATATAACCACTACCCTTGCAGGAACCATATTCTTAAAAAAAAGTTTTCCTTTTGAGTACCTATAGGTACTTAATTAGATTTTGACGAACTGAATGATGTGTTATTATAATTTATATTTATTTTGATACTTGTTATGTTTGAATTATGCATATACCAATAATAATGTATAAAAATATACATATTGTTTTATATTTGTCATGGTAATCGTAAAAAAATAATTAAAAAATTACAGTTATGACTTTTTAAGTATTGAAATATGAAGAGTATTTTAAACAAAACATCTGAGGTGGTTTGCAAAATATATGGTGGTTGCCGGTCGGTGACTAGTGAGTCAGCAGGTGGCTGGCGAAGCTCTATAGTATATAATATAATATATATCATATTATATAGTAGCTGATCCCTCTCATTTCGTTGTCCGTAAAAAATTACAACTCTTAAAAATGTGTGAAAATTCAATTTGATGCATGTTTGTACCTGATCTGCCCGATTAACCATTAGCAACCAATAAATAATAAATACTAATTTCTACTAATTATTTCTCCTATACCATATAACAACCAAACAATCATTTCCATCGTAAATCTTAAAAGCCCTGTTTGAGCACCTCCCAGGGTAGGTTCACTACCGGGTCCAATTGTGAAGCTAAATCATCCCGGGAACCACTCAAGCACACACAACAAATTTCATAAAGATCTGTCCAGCTGTTTAGGAATGCAAAAAGGATAGACAGACGGACATACATCCAGACAAACATTCATATTTATATATAATATATATAGATAAATGCATATAGTATGTACATATTATTAAAAAAGTACCTTGACGATTGTTGTTATAAGTATTCTAAAGTTATTGATAATAATTTACCTACAGTACTGTAATGTGCTATACCTTTTTGGTACGTCTGTAATATAAAATAGAATCTACGTATACAGTATACACTAATATAATTATATATTACATTTCGTTTACAGATATTTAAAATGCTTTATATATTAAGTTTTATAAGTTTCAGTACAAATACAAAGTACAAAATGTAATTAATTTTAGAAACCATGATTTATTATACCATGGATCAATTATTGATTAATGAATCAAAAAATGAATAGTGATTAAAAAACAGTTTAACTTTTATTTTTAGTCATTAATATTTCAGCAAGTTTAATTTAATATTATTGATAATCACCTACAAATCTAAAAATTAAAACAATAGTATTATCGTCATTGGTACTTTTTGTAAATTAATTTTCTTAAATGTTCGTATTAACATAGATACTACTTATACCTACCTATAGTACCTATGTATTATGTATATTGTATGAACATAATGATTTTAGAAAAAGAAAATAGTTTAAAGATCACCTCATGCAATAATAATTAGTTAGTATTTCACTTCAAGAAATTAAATGATTTTAAAATCTCTTTCTTTTAATATTAATAATGTATTAGTAAATTATCACTAATGAAATCTTCGCGGAAAACCGTGAAAGTATATAAGATATTAAATTCACACGTAAAATTGGGAAGGGGAGGGGTCTTCTCTTTTGTCGCCTAAGAAAAGTGAAAATGAATGTCTTACCTTCGTGTGATTTATGTGCTTTTATTTATATGGATTTTTAAAACTAATTTCTATTTTAACGGGTTGCTTCTTAATATGGTTCTTACGTGTTTTACTTATTTATTTTTTATAAAAATATATATATACTCTCAAGATAAATAATACAATTTTTATAATAAAATAGACGTCCATCGCATATGACTTGTAATATTCTTCATATAATACTATTAATTAATTCAATCTAAAGTTAAATATAAATTGAATACTTAAAGTATGAGTCCTAAAATTTAAAAATTTATCATGTTGAAATATCGTTTTTTTAATAATATTTATATTTATTAGATACAGTATTAACAAACTAAAGTAAATGGTTCCATTAAAAATGATTTTCAGTAAAAATTAAATTATGTATTGAAAAATCCATTAAAAAAATGTACCTATATAATAAGTATCTATTATACATTAGGTAGTTATAGTATAAATATTAAATTTACATAAGACTAAGACTAAAGATTAAACATTTTTTTAGGAAAATCTGTTTTTAAATTATCAAATATTTGTCTAAAACATGTTATTATGATTAATATTTCAACGCGTTCAAATTGAATAACATGAATATTATATGAGCATTTATAATTTATTCAACCTAAATTGTTCGTTATATGCCAAAATAAAATTTTTTCGTCGAAGGAAAAATTTTAACTTAATTCTATGTACCATTTTTGAAGTGGTTTGAATTTTTTTTTGAATATATGGTCCTTTAATATTATAAGTACAATATTTGAGCGACTAATAAATGTTACAGATACTTGTAAATTAAGGGAGTGGAATGGGTATATTTAATTTGGAGATCTGGCCGTCAAAGTATCCTCCTATCCTCCTAGTATCCTTGTGCCTATGCGTTTAATTATCGGTTATCCATATTTTTTCTAATAATTTGTAACGGAGTAGGTACCTAATATGAATAAATAAATAAATAAATACATAAATACAATATAATCTTTACTTTTATAGTAGTAGCAGTACGTGTCAATGGATTCAAAGACATTTTCTTAATTTTTTATGAATTTTTTTTTTATGAATTATGGAATAACATTGCCAAAGGTTATTTCTATATATTTTACTCAAAACTTTGTTTTATTACCCAAGACATTTTGTTTTATTATTATATGCAGAATTATGTACAATTTAAATTTCAGAAACAAAAATATTTTGAAATTGTTGAACCATAGTAATAGTTTAATATACCTATAGCAGATATATTATATATATTATATTATATTATATATTATTATACCTATAGCAGGTATAGTGTATACCTATTACATTTTGCGGTTTAAGTTGAAAATAGCATAGACATTATTAACTACATTTTCAAACGGCATTTAACTTTTATTAAGTTTTTAACAGTTAAATGTAAATAGTTCGATTTTGTTTTTGTAATTTAGAACAAAATATCATAATCGATTTAATATTAAACATGATTATGCAGTGACTCCATATTTTCGCGATTTTTGTTTAATTTTATTTACTATTGTAAGACACATTTCAAAATATATTTATTATTTAACATCAAATGCTGTTAGGTGATTAGTCAGCCAAATTTGTATTATGTACGTTATAATTAATAAGTTATAATGCAAAAATAATAATAAAAATCATATTTAAGTGGAAATTTTGAACAGTGATAACAAATTCTTTAGTACCATGTGACATGAGTATCGAAAAGTATTCCATTCTTAGAAATAATCTTTTTAAATAATGGTAAAAAAATAAGGACAAAATTAAATGTTAGTATTACAATATTGTATCTTAAATTTTCCAAAAAGTATGTGGTTTTTCTTTCTACCACATTACAAAAAAAATGTATTCGTATTTGTTTCACTAGATATTACTATTTATTTGAATTTAAATGAAAAAAGTCTGTAGGTATAACCGTTATCTGTAGTTATATATTGAATTGGTACATTATTTGCAGAGGTTAGGTTACTACCAAGTAACGTAAACTAAAGATGTAGATTGTGAGTGATTCTTTAAATACATTTTTATGGTACATTTTCTATTATTTAACTAATAAATGGTTATTATTATTTGGTATGTAGATTGTTAGTATTATATACCGATTGTTTCTATTATATTTGTTTATAAGTGTTTTGGTGTTTATACTAGTAAAAACCTATTATTTCTCAATAAATTTTAAAACCAGTGAATAGTTGGTTAGTTATGTATCAATTTTAATTGGTTATCAAATTACTTACTGTTTGAACAATTCGTTTAGCCATCATGTTGTTGTTTGTTCTAATCCACGATAGATAGTAGTTACAAAACAAAAACTGTATAGATGAACAATTTCAAAGCACAAATTATTAAACAAAAAAAATAACAACAACACCGTCAATAGTAACTGTAGCTGATAATGTATAACCGGCAACTATAGTGATCTATTGATCGACGATCGAAATAATACTTAAGGTACACTGTTACTATAACTGCACTTTGCGCGCACTATAGCCGCGGATTGTCGATACAGCGGCGTCTTGGAGCTCACTGCTGGTTCGTCGAGCTGTCTCGACGGATGTCTTCTTCTCTCGCCAACGTTCTGCAGCGTTAGCACCCGGAACTTACTTTCCCACTTACACTCCGTGAAAAATACCATAATAGCCGTAATCCCATAAACCCACTGAACATTTTTTTTTTTGTGAATCTCTCTCTCTCACTCTATCTCTCTCTCTCTCCCTCTTTATCGCTTGTAATTGATATGTAGCTGACCGTGAATAATATAATAATACGCGCCGGTGAGGACGTTCGAGTTCCTCAGTCCATTACTATAGGTCCATGGTAGTACGAAACTTTCATCGAAAGATGCATAGAAAGCCGCGATGTGCGTTAATTAAGATTGTCTTGCATGATGTTCAGGTGGTGACTAACTGTGTAACGTCGGTGATGGACCAGTTTCTGACGCAAAAATCGCCTAAGAAAATACTTGATAAATTCCAGAATGTGCGTTTTCACTAATAATAATTATCACTCTCGTAAATTCTTCGAGTATTAGTATTTGAATACTTTTTAAACTCTGAGTGTGAATGTATTGGTTTTGCAATTATGTGTGTTTTTATTTTTATTGTTTTTATCTGTCATTACTCACCACCCTTAAGTTGGAGCAAGATTAAGAATGTGTCAATCATAAACTTTGAGGGAGATTTCTAGTATAAATTTGATCTAGTTTGTTCGAGGCACCAACAGAACTAGAATAACAAAATAGCGAAAAAAATCCCAGATTTCAAATAATTGGGAAAAACCAAAATAAATATCGAAATATTTAAGCGCTCAACACTAGTTGTTAACAAAATCGTTTTTGTTTTTTTTTTTGTAATTCGAAAATAAATAACCGTAAACAGTTGACATTTGTATTAAATATTTGTAATAGCGCCATTTTTTCTTGAATTCAAGCATGATATGTTTTTAGCCCTTTTCAAGCTATTAATAAACATTTGAAATTTGGAACTTTTTCTATACCTAAAAGTTATCCGTCAAAAACTTTAGAAATGTAATCTAAGGTTTTTAAAAGTATGGTTTTTACTTGAATTAAAAAAAAAATTTAAGCGTAAAACCAACCTTCGGGTTTTAATGTTTTAATCAGTATTTCCACTCTACTAATTATGACAGCGCAACCCTTTGTACCGCGCAATTCAAATTATTAACGGTATTATTAAATATTTCTACAATAATACGTTAATCTACGCTTGTATTTGATAACTTTAAGACTGTTTTGATATTTTGTAACATTATACATTTTCTTGTGATAATAATAAGTACACTGATAAAATTACATCGAATAATTTATTTTTACTATACTAAATATATATCAACTAGACGGATCTATTGGTAATAAACATTTATAGTTGTGTTGAAAATATTTGATTTTTTCAATTTATTTTTTATAGGTTATGCGATATGTAGAATCGCAACTAAATATTTAACAGTGAATACACGGTAACATAATACTATAAATAATAAATTAAACAAAGTTCTGGGTGGATAAATTAAACTCAAATCTTCCTAACAATTATACATATTATGAGTATTGTAATTTTTTGTATATTATTATAGACTTCAACATTTTAAGCTATTTTTGTTTTAATCCATAAAGATTACAAAACAAAATAGGAATTTATATTGTACAAATTGAATCTGTATACCTCAGTTTTTTTGGCAAATCCTATATAGTATAAGGTACTCCAAATAGTACACTTTGTTTGAGTGTTTCTCAGTTTTAGTGTACGGCAGTGTACCTCAGTTCACGGAAAAATTGGGGTCAGTGTACCTATCTTTGTAAAATAATTCTACCAAATGGAAGTCGTGGATTTGATTTAACACTTGGTATTTTTTTAAACTACTTATTCTCTAAAATTTTCGGGTGGCTTTATATCGACAGATTTAATCGGATGACTTGCTGCAGAAAGCAGCTTACAAATAACTTTTTTTCTTATCATGAATCAAATTTCTAAAAAAATATATATGACTAAAATGGTAAAAAGTTGCTCTGCTGTACAGTAGGTTACAAGTGGGTCACTGTATAATGAATGGTATTAAATTTGAATTCAATGATGTAATATCATTGTATAAGAAAAACGGAGCGGAGACGGTATGTCAGTCTATAAGGTATAAGACATAATATTATATACTTATCTATGGTATTAATAAAAAATTTACCTATAATAGGTACCTATAATAAATTCCAAATTAATCATATCGCAATATCCAATAGGTACTTATAACTCGTTATACATCAACAACGAACTCTGATACTATCATAGATATATAATAGTGTACTTTAGAAGTACCCACAAATAAAATATTATACAATCACAACAAAATAACTAAAATATTTATTCTAGGTTTTTTTATTATGTAATTTCGTCCAAATTTGAACTCAAAATGACTATAAAAATAAACTGTCCTTCTGTATTTTTTAGATTTTTTGGTAACAGAATTAACTACTTACGTGGAATCTTGTTTTAAATTTTCAAGCTATAAAAACTGAACATTTTCTAATTTATTAATTACGATGTTTAATAATTTTCGAGATTTTGAAAAATTCTGTCAAAATTCGATGTTTAAATGCTTATAAAAAAAAATTTAATAAAAATAACTGTGTTCATATATTTTTTATATTTTTTGGTACTGTATGAACTATTTATGAGAGCCTTTGTTTTAAATTTTCATTCCTTAGATATAAAAGTTGAACATTTTATAAATTTTTAACTACAAAATAATTATTCAATTTTAAATTTGATAAATTTTGTCAAAATTCGATCTTAAAATGCTTATAAAAAAAAATTTTATCGTGTATAGAAAATGCAAATATGCTAAACCAGTGAAAATGTGATGTATTTACGATCATTCGTTTTAGTGTTACACCAAAAGCCAAAATCGATTTTGTCAAAAACCGATTTTGCGTAAAAATTCCCGTTTTTCTTTAATTTTTATGTTGTTTTTCCCGGCGCTTGTGACAACTATTGGGAATTCAAAATTTGACCTCCCGAATGTACCAACTAGATTTACTTTCGCATCGAACAAGATACTGTTGAAGAAAATCGAAGCAATTTTACTGCCCTAAACCGTGATGACAGACACAAAAAAAAAAAAAAAACACACATCATTGTAAAATCAATACATTCATCGCTCCACTCAGAATAAGACTTACTTTTACGTGTCTCACAAGGGACCACAAAAATCTCTAAAATGTGTTGCTATGATCCCTTCAGATCCATAGAAAATACGGGCCTCTGTGTTTTCCTCACAAAATCGCCAATCATTTTTAATTGGTCTCTTAGCAATTAAACTAAATTATTCTGACCCCTTGGTATGCTAATAATATAAGTTATAACTATCTATTAGTATTACTAAATGTATTCTTTCTTCACTGGGACATACCTACATATTGATGTTTTAAATTAATTTCGTTAATATAAATGTATAATGTAATGTAAATTTTTGTTAACATTAATTTACAAGTGAAATTTTTGAAATATATTTGGGTCGGCTAAGAAAATAAAATTAATAATTTAAAAATGTGTTTATTTTGTTGAATAAAAACTAAATATGGTTGTTGTATTTTAAAATATTCACTACCTATAACTTACGTTTTTTAGGTTACATTTATGTACAGCGTACCTACCAAATAATTTTTTTTTAAAGGTCAACAACTTATTATTAAGTAGGTACCTGGTACATACGTTATTAAACACCGAAAATCATTTTTATTTATATATTTTCTTGAATTGTAGTGGTCAACCTAACTTCCTACAATGAATAATGGTTGATTATTGATCAATAGCATTTTGAATGTTGGATATTTTTTGTATAATACGCAATGTGTGAAACATTTATTATAAATCTGTAATTTGTGAGCTAACTAAGTGAGATGGAAGACCCCTTTATAATTTCCTAATTTCCTTCTAATGTTTTGATTTTGTTGCCTATTATTATTAAAATAATATGAACCTAATATTATACTTTTAAAGAGTTACTAAACTTTATTATCTAATAATATTTAATAAGATCTTAAAAGAAGGTACGAGCCTAAAAATCCAAGATATAATTTTGCCAAATTTGAGGTACTACTAACAATTATTTGTTCTGACGTTCTGAGACTATTAAATCATTTTCAACTAAAATAGTTTATTTTTAGGGTATTCTTATATAAATTATTTCACACGTGCATATAATATCGGACATTCGGTTACTATTACTCAGCCATTTTTTTTTTACTTAGAAACTTGGTTTAATCACTAAAATTATTAATAAGAAAATATGAAGAAAATTATTGGGAATGAAAATAGGTGGTTGCACAAAACCAATAGCTATATAGTATACATAATATATTAATGTGTGTTACACATACATAATATCTTGACGATAGAAAAATATCATCACTACTATTAAACAACTCTACGCCGAGATATTAAGTGTTTCCAGTCACCAATCACTATGGAAATACGTTGCATAAGGACGTATATGTCGTATACTTATAAACAGTTGGTTATAACTCATGTACGGGTTAAATAGATTATTGTCAATCATGATTTTTAATTGTTTTTCTGAAATATTTTATTAAATCATAAAAGTTAAAAATGCTAATATTTACAAAGGTACAAAATATTTGAAAGTCAATAATAATAATTACAATTAAGATCCGATAAATAATATGATTAATTAAACTACCTAATCGTTATAAACCTTAAAATTAGATTATTACTCACCGTGTAGGTACATTGTACATGCAATATTATATTTTCGAATTAATCGAATTACTTTTGATTCCTTCTTTATGAAATAAACATAATTTATGTATGTATTTGTTTTTGGTTTAATCGCACACTTATAAAATTAATATGACGTATTACTATTGTGTACATCAGTATACATTACAGTGTTATCATGCTAAACGTTTAAGAACCCATTACATTCAAATTATATTTTAAATATCTTGAAAATCACTAAGGCTATTAATTAACTTTGTATAAATAAAATAGTTAGTATATTTTTGTTTGTAACATGTTATTTTGAGTTTGTTGCAATATAATTTGAAAGTCGTTCATCAAGAATATTAATTAAATTGAAGAACTTTACCTTTAATACACCGTTTCAAAATGTTGTGTTTAAAAAAAAGTATAAATCTGTATGAAGACTTCCCAAATTGTGTTTCTGATAAATATTCTAAGCGTGTAACTGAAGTCAATATTTTTGATGTAAAATGTTTGCATTAAAGTTATAAAAAAATAAAAATATACCTATACGCTACCGGAAGAGGTTTGCTTCGCAAATAGTTTTAAAATAATAATTCTATAAAAGTAACTCCCTATATAGTTTAATAAAGATTTTTTTACACATATAATATTAAACATATTTTGTTGATATTACAACGCTCTCTTCTGTGTTCTATATGAATGTAATATTTTCGTACATTTTTTCAATAAGAATATTGTTCCAAATACCATTGTCCAATCGTTTTTCCATACGAATAATATTCTTCTTTAAGAATGATATTCGTTTCGTTTATTTCAATCCCATTGTTCCGATGTAATATGTAATTCTAGCGAAAGTGTTCCAATGTGTACGGTATGATATACAAACATTATTATGTATGTGTGTAACACGGCAAACGGGCAAAGTCATCTTTGGACAAATTTTCTATAGACAAAAAAAAATAATAATATCTCGACGTCAGACATAATTATATTTGACGTGGTCGAAATATTATGCAAAGTATGGCATTTTTCTAGACAACCGACAGTCGTCGGGATTAGTACTGAATGGTAGGGGGGCAGTTAAAGAGGGTAGCAGATTCACGTAATAATGATGTATAATAATATGATATTGAAATGTGTGATGGTTATTCCTTTCACTGGAAAAATACACCATTAGCAGTGGTGGCGGCGGCGAATAATCATTACAATAATATAACGAAGTGTTTCTCACGGTGTCTGGCCACCATTATCGATGAAGGGGTCATGAGAGGTTTCGGAAAGTGAAATCATTGTTTTTTGGACGGCACGACCCAAGTCCGATTTTAATTCGGGTGTAGCAAGTGGGCATAAATGAATAGAAAGTTACGTGCCATGTTTAACTTGGGTCGGAGACATGTAGAAACTTAGTAGGCCTATTGCCTACAAGAAATACTAAATCCCACATTCCCACCGTATAAGTTTTCATTTTTTTTTTGTTTTTTGGTTTTTGTTTTGAATATAATCATTTTTCTTCATAAATAACGCGACTCGTTATACCTACATATAATTCTAATTAGTGACTAATTGTCATCAAATAGTGTACGACGTCCAATTAAAAACAATTAATTGAACTAGGTTGAGCCGTTCTTGAAGAACATAATATGTTTGAGAATATATATAGGTATACTTTATAGTTTCACCAGTCCCGAATTAGCATTGTCTTGTTCCATTCACTGACACCCTCATTCTATAATGGTACACAGAGAAATTCGCTGTTCGTCATAACACTGACACATTAAATAATTGCATGTTTACCTTTGACCCCCCGGAAGATGTGATTTAAATTCTAATCACAATGGGTAATATTCATAGAACGTTGTCTTGTCACACCTGTAAAATGGAAAGTACGACAGTCGCCGGATGATGATTGATGTGGTGTTTATGACGAATCGGTATTTTATTTTGCGCAGGTATCAGACCTTTGCAACGACTACCGACGGTCTATGAATGCCGAGATCACCGAGTCCATGAATACGTTTTGGGCCGAGTGCTATGAATCATACAAGAACGCATTGGACACAAGGAGTAAACTTGTAGCCGAAAGTCGAAAATCGTTTCAGGTAATAAAATTATACGTCATTTAATATTAGGTAGGTTTACACCTTATTTTAATAATTCAATTATTATACAAGTGGGCTTGATTCATTATTTAGAGACCATTATAATTGTATTACATAACGTCCTATAAAGACATAGTATACTCGAGATCTCTACACGAGAATAGATTTAGTGACTCGTGGTTTTTGCTTAACTTTAGGAAGTAGGTACCTATTACATACCTACTATAAAATTATTATCGTTGCTGACTTTCTATTTTTGAGTATTAATCTAATTAGCAACATATTCAGCGTATGAATATTTTCAGTTAAGTTACTAATAAATATATAGCTTAGATTATAAATTAAGCGATGTGCATTTATTTTGTCACGCTCATTAAACGCGCTTTCGTTCAATCTTGTGGGAAAAAGTGGAATTATTTTTAATCATTATGTTACTTTTTAGGCGTTGATATTAGAGCCTTTTAAGATTAAAAAAGAAGAAGAAGAATCAAGAATATATTTAATGGAAAATCAGAAAAAGGCTCAACGATTACTGGTTCGTGCTAAATGGAGACAGATTAAAGGATACCTGTGCGGAGAAAGAGGACCCTGGAAGTCAAGGTTAGTATCTTATTCTATATTATTTTTTTTTTTACTTGAACAGGAAATTAAAATATATTTTTTCGACATTGCTTATGTCCGTTAGATTTAGTTGGAATATTTTAATAACAACATTAAAAAAATTATGTATGTAGGACGTAGGTATATCATTATGTTATTGCGCGCACTATATATTTAAAAAAACAATGTCAACGTTTCTGAAAGTTACCTACATAGTTGTTATTAACCACGTCAAAATTTGCTTATAATTTAACTAAGCATTGACAATATAGTTATTTAGTTTTGCATACAAAAATAAATAGTTACAAGTACCTAAAATAATAAATGATGTGGCAAGTAAACGTCTTAATGGCTTATTAATCAGATAATTTTTTCAATTCTAAATTCATCTGATGAAAATCACATGTTGTTGCTATTGTATGATATAATTAATATGCTTTAAATAATAGTTTTCTTTAGAATCTATTTTGTTGTTTGTAAATTAATATTCAAGTGATAAAAGTGTTGTAGGTACCTGCTGACATAATAAACTCAGTGTGATATTTTGTGAATGCCAATAGTTTTATAATACGGTGACTACTTATATATTTGTTATACATATTACTCTCGAAGTCTTGTGTGTAATATATTATACAGTTTAATTTTATTAATGCTAATATGCTTCTGAGAGTTAATAATTTTTAATAAACAATTTTTTTAACTACTGCGAAATGCAAGTACTGTTAGTAATTATTCGAATACTTCCGCTTTTATAATATTATGTGTATCGATCGATAATCTAGTTTTTAAAACATATTGAAGTATTAATTAGTCTAGCTGGATTTGCTTTATAATCATTTAAAAGTAGAATAAATCATGTTAATAATTTGTTTAATAATTATATATTATACCTTTATTATTTTTAAGAAACTTTTTGTTAGCAATAAAATATTGTAAGTAGCTTTGTGTGGAGATTTAATTGGACACACGAGTTGACTGATACTATGTGCCATGTGAGTAGTCTTACAGTTTTACTACCTAACTCAATAACATATTTTGGTGAATGCATGTCTTTAGGGTTAGGCTGAAAACCAATTGTATTTATATTACACTTATTAGTATCCGATAAAACTAAATTACGTGATACGTGATGAGTGATTCCATTTTATAGACTACCTATTTATTGACTATAGTGTAGAAGTTGTAACTGTATTAAGTACCATTTGCCAGTGATTTAACGAGTGAACAAATTAAGTCATTCATATTTCATTTTTTTTAAATGAAACATTTGATAAAGCTATCAAAAGGCTTTGATTTTAACGATAGTAAAAATAACATATTTATAAATATATAAATTAACTTTATTTGGGTTTTTGTTTTGTTTTACAGTTGGTTATTTAAATAAATATATATATATAATGAATAATAATATAACATAACCGTCTACACTCTATATTATAAATTAAATTGGATTTTTTTTTTAGCAAAGTATACATTAATTGCATTAAACGTTTATCAATAACCTGTTTTGGTTTTGGTTTCGGGCACAGCTAGCGTATTCTTCAATGGTTTTGAGCCCGAGGGCGCATACCTGACTGGTTCAACTTCAATGGTGTCTACTTTGATAGTTTCTACATCGTCTGTTGATACCGATGGTACGAACACGGCTTGTTGCACGTCTGATTTCTGTACGTACGCGTTGAATCCATGTGTCGGGTCAGCGGTGTAGTCTACGGTTCTCCTGGTGCCATCGGGTTCGATCAAACTGTATCGGCCCTTGACGACATCTCCTTGGCGGGTTTCTTCTTGGCTCTTGGAGTCGCCGGTTATCTGATCCTGTACCTGGTATGCGAACGTGTACGATGGGTCGGGTTGGAATTGAGCGGGTACGACTTGTACGACTTTGGCGACGGGTACAGCCGGAGCGACAAATTTAGCTGGGGCCACGGCGACGGGAACGGTTCTGGCTGATGTAACGATTTTGGCCGGCGCAGCGGCGACAACTTTGGCCTCTGGTGCTGCGTATGCCGTGTATGCCACCAATGGTGCTGATTGGTAGTATGGTTGCAGATAAGCCCAAGGGACTGGTCCGTGCGATGTGAACGAAGACGCAACGTAGGCCGCGGGTGCGCCGGTTAAGACAACTTCGGCTGAAACCATGGCGACTACTAAGGGCAGAATGATGAATACCTGAAACATTTTTTAATATTATTTTTTGTTTTTTGTTAGTCGGGGCGGATTGTTGTTTGAACGTAAAATAATCGATGTATTCGTTTGCTGGCTAAATATTTGTTTCACTTACCTTCATGTTGAAGAGGTTGTTGAGTCTGTGGATCGAATACTTCTTCTACTGGTAGTAGTAGTACTGTTTGGAGTGATTGATTGTGATGTGATTCGATCTTGGTCGATTCCCGTTTATATATTGTTTAAAAGGCCCTCGTGCCCCACCATTTTTAAGGACATCTCGTACGTGTAGACAAATATAATTCATATCGATGAGCATGATCATATTCAATTCTGGCGCCGTGATTAGAATTATATTATATTCATGTCTCAAATGACCATGATGCATCTTCATAGTTTGAATTTTGCAATGAAATAGATCATTAAGTAAATTTTGTTTTCGAGCCAAATGTACAAATAGAAATTGACCCTTTTATGTACACTTGGCCAATATGTATGCATTATATTATCATATGGATTTATTAGTTTTATTTACATTATTACATTATAAAGTGAATAAATAAGAAACAATAACTTAGAGATAATATAAAAGAATACAAATATAATCAGATTAATGATATTTTTATTCTGTTAATCACGAAGTTTTATCAATACATTTTCATAATGATTATATTGGCAAGCTTAAATAAATTATTTGTCGTGGAGTAATTTCTGAATATTAGAACGTATACGTGAAAGATGGTCCGACACGCATTTACCGAGGACGTTTTTATGGTGTATAATGCATACCTGATATGAGTCTAGGCCGCGGATTAATGTATTTGAATTTTTTCAAATGGGAAGTTTAAAAACATCATATGATATTTTGTAGGCTCCTTGTGCATAAGAATATTCTCTATAAGTCTATATCATTGAAAATAATAGAAACATATACAACTTAGAATACCAATTTACTATTTAAAAAACACAAAACAACAACAATAATAATAATATGATCTTGAACAAAAAAATATTAACATCCTGCACACATGAACATTGCACATATAGTATATACACAATAAGTATTCGTACATTTTTTATAGCATTTTTCTAACGTCCTAATCAACTGTGAGCAAGAGCTGACAGGGAAAATTGGAGGGTTGATTGTATGACTACTCCTAGTTACCCGTAATACCCCAAAAATAAGAAAAAATAAATGCGATGAATGTGTAATTCGTATTTGAAAGCTGTTATACATAATTGACTTAAGCTGTGTTAAAATTGTTTAAAAAAAACAAAATACTTTTATAAATAATATTAATAATATATTATAAATTATAGACTTGCTTTAATGTTTGGAAAAATTAATAGTATAGGTAGTATTATTATTTAAGATATACCAATAAAAATTTTTTTTTTGGTCATATTTTTAAATTTTGAACTTTAAAGAATTAGTTTCTCCTATGATTTACCATTTATCGCCTGTAAAAGCCTGAACTGCAATAATCATTTGGAGGTTGGCCGAATTAATCTGTATATGTGAAAACCCGAAATTCGAACATTCACCACCTCAATACCTAAGAAATTCTAGGTTTTAATAGAATTTGTATTTTACCATAACATATACTTACATTATCAATACTTATCCTGTAAATATTTTGAACATAATTAAAAATTCGAAAAACTGGTTTCATTAAAAAAAATCTCTATATTTACTGTAGATAGTTAAACTCATAGTTAGAAATTTAATTTTTGAGCTTTTAGTTTTCTTAACTTGGTTTTGTTCAAAAAAAAAAAAAAATAATAATCGTAGGTTATAAACAGTATACATATTTTCATAGTTTTACAAACAATTGATTTTATTAAATTAAAAAAAAAAATTATGTATTTCATACTATACATATATAGTAAGTATATAATCAAATCGTTACTACTGTGTTTGAAACATTTTTGAAAGGAATGCATTTGTGAACTAATTCATAGTTGTTGTAATGAAACTTAACATTTTACTTTTAATGTTATACAGTTATAATTGTTATAAAACCATTTATTAATCAATATTATTCAATTAACAGTTATCATTCATGTTTTTGAAAGGCACAAAACAATGGACTTTTAATTTTGTTTGTATGGTAAAATAAACATACTAAAAGAATTATATAACTCACAATTATTTTAAACAAATGCATTCAGTTATAACTTACTAATAAGTTATAAGGTTATCAGTATCCGTTATAAATTGTTTGTGATCACTGATCCCCCAGTTTGTGGTAATTTTTTGTCTTTACTCATAATTCCTCTAGCTGGCATATTATAGTTTTTAAAATTTAATATTTGATGACAGGGTATCTAAAATCTATTATATTTTACTAATAATATATATGTTTACCGTTTGTTTTAAATTGTACAAAGTCTATATTTCTGTTAATCCATATATTATATTGGTGGCTTAAGTCCACACTTCACACATATGATAAGTGCAATTTGATTTCGATTTGATTTTAGGATTTAATTTCATTGTATTTAGTTTTCAAGAAGTTTACCTATTTTTTCAATATATTTTGAAATTAAACTGTTTGAACATTTAGTATGTACTATATTAAATTCGTATTAAATTTTCAATGTGATATAGGTACATGCAAAATCCATAAATGTGTATTTTGCATATTATCTCCCTTAAAAATAGTCAATTGGTATTAAAAATGTAATAATTTATCTATGGATACAATGATCCGTATATACAATAATCATTGAATATAGTATAGAATCGTGTTGTCGACTGTTGTAGTGTTACAATGTGCGTATTTTTATTTATATTTCATAACTATACATTCATTAAAATTTAGTTCTACCTGTTCATTGAATTAAAAATACAATCACGTAGTACCTACTAATAGTTTAATTTCCAGTGTTAAATATATTGCTATATCTCTATTACTTTGTGTTTAAATCGATTGTTATTCATTGCGTCTTTTTATTTTTCAAATACCTACTAAAACACTCATACAATTTGGTTTGTATTTTTCTATATAATTTGTGAATTTAATAAATAAATTAAATTAAATTATTAAATAATTATAATATAATCCAATTTTGCTTTCACCATCATATAACTTCTATACACCTGTAATGTTTTAATTCAAAATTAATCGTTGTAATTCATCTAAACTAATCATAATATTATAATATATTTGTTATGTTTGGATAGTTTAAGTATAATTGTAATGTTTTATTGCCATTATTTTAACATTAGATGAGAATCTCGCGCAATATTCTTTCTATAATTAATTTTCTTGATGTTATCGAATATAGTTGTTATCTAAAAAATGTTTAATTTATAACATTATAAAAGGAAGAAAGTGTCTAATAGGTAGGAATACATTTTAAGGTTTACTGAGTTTTTTTAGATTTATATGATAGCGAGTGGAGTCATAATATTATAATAATAAGATAGGTACCATGTTTGTATACACAATATAGTCATGCATATTATATTATAGCCAATATCCATAATCCACATTACTATGTATTCATTTAAGATTAAGTTTTCACTAATAAAGACTAAATAATATATAACATTTATTTATTTTCTCATTGAATTACAAAAATGCATAACAATATATTTAAATATAAAACAATTTTAGCTAATACACGAATATATATTATTACATTTAAAAGTTTTACATGTATATTATCATTGAGTATATACTCGAATTATAATATATATTATACTCAATGATATAATGCGTTTTTTCGATAATATTTATTTTGAAGTATTTACACAATCCGATTATTACAAATAACACTAATAACAAAATCGTAATATTATTACATTAATCGTACTTATGTCATACTAAAATATTATTATTTTTGTTTGTATAGTCGCCATTGTTCCTCCACCGTTATTTTATACAGCCATCAGTTTCACCGTTGTGCGGGATTTATTGTTGTCAATTTTTCATTATTTTTTGCCTCTTTGACCGGTTTCTCCGGATTTGTCACCTTCTTGTAATATTTTTTCAATTCGGTTTTTGTACTATTCGACTCTGTCTTTACAACTATCGGTTTTAAAGCTCTGGGAATATTGTCCTGTCCGTCATCCCGCCGGTCGTCGGATTCGTTGGGTTTTCGTCCGTTGGCCGCTGCTTGTGATCCGGCACCCGGGCCGATCGTGCGCTCGAAAACTCCATCCTCTGGACCCGATAAACTGTTACGACTTGTCGGTCCGACACCGCCGACCATCTTCGGTGCAACATGTCGGCCATTCGAACCGCCAACGCGGCTGTCGATTATTTTGTATCCGTAACTGTACCGCAGCGACGCCGGCGGACCATCGACACGCGTTTCCGAGTAAACTGTAGCAGTTGCGGTTGGTGGATGATTATTATCATTACCATAACCGCCGTACGTCGGTCGATTTTCGGTTTGCTCGTCATTTGAATATAATATCGATGTGTCCGGGTTACGTCGTAGTTGCAGACGTTCGTGTCGATCCGTCGAGTATTGTGCCGAGTCGTAAATCGGTGCCTGCCGGTCATCGTTATTGGGAGGTGCGAAGTATTGTATCGGCGCTTGGACCGCGTGATTTACCAAGGGTATTTTCCCCGTGTTTATCACCAGTGGTATTACCTGATACTGCTGATCCACGGGTACTGGGTAGTGAAGCGATTCGTATGAGATCCCGGACGGGGCTGGCAGTATGATGATGGGGCTTAAGGATTCGTTACTTCGGTCCGGTGGCACTTGACAAGAATGGTTCACGAGTATAGAGAAAAAGGAAGAGATAAAAAAAATCAAAACCTGTTAAGAGACAAAAAAAAGTTAAATAAAAGACGTGTTGTTCGCTTTTAAAAAAAACATAATATATATCATTGTTCCCTATACAATATAAATGATTGCAAAATTGCATAATTGCATTTATATAACCTACTTATTAGTTATTGAATACCTCGGAACTGTACGTATTTAAGTAAAAATATGATATGTACTTATTTAACATATACAATGAGAATAGATCAGATATGTGTATAAAAATGTATAGTACGCATTACATTTTTACCGACGATTTATTTGTAACGTCCTTGAAAATAATTTAAGTGAAGTGTCGTTTGTGGTTGATTTAACAAAATTAAATTGATAAAAAATTATCAATTGGAAACGGCCAAACTTGTGATTAATGGTAATCAGATTGTATTGAAATTCTTGCTTGATATAGTATTATTATTATTATTTTTTGCACAATACTAGTGTATAAAAACAGACGTGAAATCGGGTAATTGCATATTTCGCCACTATATTTCTTAGGAATTTAATGCATAGTTTAATCAAAAACAAGTCTCCAAGTCCGCGTGTCTAGAATTTATAAGTTACTCGGACAGTGTCTGTTGTCAATTAGTAATATGTCAGCGTACTTGTGTTGACCTGAGCTATATATCATATATTTATATTATACATATATGTACAATATACATATTACATATTTCACACGTATATATAAATATTGCTGTATTCATATTATATCGCGTTGTATTCTTGTAATCTTGTACCTACTATATACCTCAGTAGTGTTGGTTGAAGATTTTCGATGTTGAGATTCATATACATTCGATATCAACTTGGTTTTAAACGATGCCTGGGGAGTCCATAGCCATAATTTTTATAAATCTAATGAAATGTTGTATACTTAATTTGTTTAAAAATATACATCAGTTTATTTAATATAATATTTTACATCGTTATAAGTTTATAATGTTATAAGTCCACATCTGCAAATATATAGTAATCTCGGTAATTTATCTATCCGACGGCTTAAACTGCTAAGTATAACTATGCTAACCTGTTACTGATATTGGCTGTACTTATTATTTGGACAATCAAATATTATAAACCAATTGTTCCATTATTATTGTTAATGATTAAATATCAATTTAATTCAGATACATTTTTTAGCCAACAAAGCTACAAAATGTTTAGTTTATAGTTAGTTTTAATTTAACATAACCCTACGCCCAGTACGACCTACCTTAAGTTGTTGATTTAATTTAATTATTATTTTGTAAATCTTAAACTTGTAATTGAAAATAAAACCCACAATTGTTCTGTTACCTCACTTAAAACCATTAAGTTAATAAGTTATGCTTAAAATTATATCTCAAATACTCCAATATCAAATATGTAATATGATAAGTCTATCATAAGTTAAAATTACAGAACAGTGGCTCATTTAAGATTTAACGTGTGACATCAAAACTATATTTTATTTGATTTTTATGATTTTTAAATATTAATTTTTTTAAAGTAAGACTCATTAGTTTGAAAATTAATAATTAAAAATAAAAATGTCGCTCTGCTCTACAGTCGGTTACAAGTGAGTTACTGCAATGTGTAATAGATGGTGTTAAATTTGAATTCAATGATATAATATCATTGTATAAGAAAAACGATTCTGAGCGAAAACGGTCAGCAGCCTATGATATTACGAAGTATATTTGATGATATTAAGGTGAATAAAGTAATTTATAAATAATATATATATATATATATATATATATATTATAATCTATTTACGTGGACCCTCGTTTTAAATTTTTAATCCTTAGCTTAGAGTTGAACATTTTATACATTATTAACTACAAAATAATTATTAAATTTTAATTATGATAAATGTTCAAAATTCAAAATTCGACCTTTAAACGCTTATAAAAAAAAACTGTGCCTATTTATTTTTAATATTTTTCAACTGGTATTGTTGCAATATATGAGAAGCCTTGAATTCAATTTTAACTCTTTTTTACCCAAAAAAACTAAGAAAATTTAAAACTTACAAAACTGCTTCATGAAAAATCGAGTGAATATCTAATCTTGTACCTATTACATTTTCAAATCTTAGATTTAAAAACAAAAATTTTTATGAATTCTCAACTCAAAATAATTATTGCTAATTTTCGTGATTCTTCCGTATTTTGTCAAGATTTGAACTTTAAATGCTTATACAAAAAAACTGTTACTAAGGATTTTTAATCTTTTTGAATTACTATTGTAACAATATAGTAGGAGCCTTCTATTAAATTTTCAAGCTTTTGTACCCAACAAATAATATTATATTGATATTTTAGAATAAAAAACTAAAAAAATTGGAAACTGAAAATGTCCCTATAAACAGCTCAAAATAAGTCAAAATATTTTAAAAAAGCATGGTGTATAGAAAATGCGAATATAAACAGTCAGTAAAAATTTCATGTATCTACGGTAATTTGTTTTAGAGTTGCACCAAAAACCAAAATCGATTTTCTCGAAAACAGATTTGCGTAAAAATTCCCGTTTTTCCTTAATTTTTCTTTTGTTTTTCACTTCGCTTTTGAAAACTTCTGGGAAATTTTTACTTTTGACCCTCCAAAGTACCAATTAGATTCATTTTCATATCAGAAAAGATACTGTTGAAAAAAATCCAAGCAATTTTACTGCCCTCAACCGTGATTACAGACAACAAAAATAAAAAAAAAACACATCATTGTAATTTCAATACATTCATCGTTTCACTCAGAATCTAAAAATGTTTAGTCTTTAACAAGTATCTGTTTATAAATGTTCATGAAATCGATGGCCAAAAGTGTCGTAACTCATAAAAGCATAAGTTTATAGGAGACACTTTAAACAATATGATATTTACCAATACATAATCGTTTTTTATCTAATTAGTCAATTTTTTTTTAATGTGATATCTGGATGATCATAAATATTAAGATTTGCAAGTTAGTAATAGTAATTTATAATGTTAATTTAGCTTTATTTATGGCCTAACTGAAGCTTACAGAAATTTACCACATAATATAGGTATGATTGCATAATAAACGTTCGTGATAATGTATTTGGTTTACTGCATTTGGCATGTTATTCAAGTTTTTACTATTAAACTATTGGTTATTGATAAAATATCTTAAAACAGTAATATTTAAATATGCAGTAAAATAATGTATTGCTTGGTGGGAAACGTTTACAATATAAAAATATTAAAAACTATTAGCAGATAATCGTCAATGACAATCTGTAATCGTCATAGCCCATTAATATTCTTATTTAAGCTGGTGGATAAAGATTTTTCAATATTTTGATAAGGATATTCAGTCTATTTATATTAGAAAAACTATCAACTTCTGTTTTTTCGGTTTCACTGCATTTTCATGTTTATTAAACGTGCCGTGTTTGATTAACATTTCAGCTTTCAGCATATTCAGGTTTACATCTGAATATGAAATCTGAATAAAAAAGATAACGAGGATTACGTTTTCTCCTTATAACATTTGTATGTGGGATACAACAATGTAATATAATTAAAATCAATTTCTTGAGGCTTACATTTTCATAATATACGGCTTATTGCATTCGTGACTATTTATCATATTGGCTTACGACGTTAAAATAAACGAATATTGCTAAAAATTATAATGATTATATCGAAATGTGGGTTACAACAGTTTTTAAATACAAAAAAATAATATAAATTTTATAATTTCGTTGTAACCACAATTTCATAAAAGTGAGGTTTACGCAATTTGGCATTTTCACCATCGAAATATATAAAAAAAAAAAAAATTATACTGTTGAATTTAAAATTATTTTTACGATTGGATCAACTTAACTCAATAAAAATAATGAGATTTCACCTACATGAATTAAATAAATGTCTTTACAAACAACATTTAACATTTTCTAAAAACCAAATTTAAAAATTGGCTTTTTTAAATGTTTCAAAAAAAATTTATATCACATTTAAAATTTTTAATTTCGGTACCTATTAAAAATCTAAAAAAAAACGGTTATAATAGGAATATAGCACTAGTGTCTATGTAATATGTATATAAAAATATCAAAAAGAACAAAAGTTATTTAATTTATCAGGTCTATCTGTTACACCATGTATAATATAATATGGATTTTATTTTATTTTATTGGTTCTATTTCCATATGATATTTTAATTATTTTATTCTTAAATTCCAAGTTAATTTGGCTAAATATTAAAGTCAATAATTGAATTTAAAATTTAACTATAATTTTTAATTTTCTCAAGTAAGTATAAAGGGTAAAATTAATTTTAGTTTTAATAAAGTTATTTTGTAATTCCTTTATTTTATAAAACGCGTTGTTGATATTATTTTATTATTGCGTCGAGTGTGTTGACTCTATGCTCACATTGCTTGATCGATGTTATTTAGAAGAAATAACGGGTGTGTGGTTTTTTCCTATTTGGAATGAAGTTTTACGGAGAAAAAGTAAATATTTATTTTTATTTTTTTAAAAAAACGATTCTTACTACTATACAATTACTATAGTATACGTATTACCTACATAATATACCTATATAATATTATTTTAGGTACCTAAGTTTTGTTAGATATTTTAGGTTGTTATTAAATTGTATTTTATTTTCAACAACTACCTATTTGTTTTATAAATCGTAGTATCCTATAAGGCGTATAATATTATTCTAATTTATAAAATAAAATATACTTTGCTCACACTTTCAGCACGTTCTCATTCAAATATATTTTTGTATAATGTCATAAATACAGCTAATTACTAAAATATAATAAACAATACAATATTAAGCTTGAAAAAAATGTGCATGACCAAATAAAATTATTATTCAAAACATTTAGTAGTTACCTATATAGGATAGTTATAGTTTATAATGTCCTCACGTAACTTTGTATTCTATTTATATATACAAATATAATAATTTTTTTCTTGTCGTTATACGAATTAATAATCAGAATAATATCGATAAAATCGATAAAATCATATGATATTCGAATTATTTTAGTTGCTTCATTAATGATGAATAAAATGTAAAGTACTATTATAAAATTTGATTTTAAATTAAACTTACCCAAGCTTCCATCCTGATCCAAGTATAGGTAAGTAATATTCCAATTAGTTCTTAAAAATCTTGCTACAGAAACATTTCTTAGCATCTACAAAAATAAATACTTTTTTGTGTGCGTCTGCGTGTATGTAAGTATGTACCTATGTATGTATGTATCATGCATTGTATGTATGAGTTTAATGGTTTATATAATGTGTATTTTATACCAGAGTTGGATACTCATATATCCGAGAAATTTTGAGAGCCCAATTATATATTTCCTACAGTGTTATATGCTTCAGAAGGGGTTTCCGTATCAAATTAGCAGAACGATTCGTATTATATTTTATAAAACTACCGTTAACCCATAATTTATAAACATTTGGTTGAAATAGTATTGATAAATCGAATTTATATCATAAACAAAAATATTTTTAATGAAAATCTTTTTTTTTAAATTTTAATACGTATAAGAAAAATTAAAAAGAAAAAAATACATATTAATTCTTGGAATAATGAAAATTGTTACACAAATAATAAAAGAGAGTCTTTCTTTGGCTTATTTAATATAGGCAAATTTATAATTATCTGATTAAATAATAAAATTAAAATCAACTCATTGTTTAGTTATAGTAAGTATAATATACAATACCAGTATAGTTCAGAATACTAGTATTATATTATATTATTATATATCAGTGTTTCCCAACCGGTGGTCCGTGGGCCAGTCATAGGTGGTCCGCGGTACCTTTCTTAGTTTTCTATTAAAATTTTTTTTTTTTTTAAACTGCGAAAAATATTTTATTTTACCGTAATATACGGTTATCTTATCGTATACAAAAATCACACTAAGTAAATTATTAGTAAAGTTTAATAATTATATATAATAGTACAGTAAAATAATAAAAATTTTCCAATACATTTTTGTGTATTCTTGTTAATGAGCAAAAAAAAAAAAAAAAGGTCTTCCTAGTTTGAGGTGGTCCGCGACCTATAAAATATTGTCAAAGTGGTCCGTGGTGGTAAAAAGGTTGGGAAACACTGTTATATATAATTACCAATTTGATATTTAAGACGTGAATTTGCATAATAAATGTTTACATTTTTAAATTAAAATTAAAATAAAATAATTTACTTTACGTTGATAATTACAGATTGTCTATTAGTTAGGTATATGAAATACTACAAATGTTTTAATATAAAATGTATTTTAAAATATTAGTTTTTTGGTATTATTATAGTTTTATCTAGGTAATTTTATAAACAAGTATCTAAAATAACACAGTTTTTTCTAGAAAAAACTAAACTTAAACAAAAAATAAATACAAATTAAAACTTTGTTGATATATAAAATTAAAAAGCGGGCAAGGGGATGTCGCTCTGCTGTACAGTAGGTTACAAGAGGATCATTGTATAATGGATTGTATTAAACTTGAATTCAATGATATGATACCATTGTATAAGAAAAACGATTCTGAGCGGAGACCGTTTGTCAGTATAGGTATAAGACATATTATATACATAACTATAGAATAAAAAAAAAATTGACCTATAATAAGTACCTTAATAAAATAAATTCCAAATTAATCATATCACAATATCCATTAGGTATTTATAACGCGTTATACATCAACAAAAAACCATGATACTATCATAGATAGGTATATAGTAGTACACAATAGAAGTTTCAAGTACCCACGAATAATATTATACAATCACAACAAAATAACTAAAATAGTTATTCTAGTATCTATATTTATATTGTTATTATTTATTATAATATCATGTAAGTTGAATTAATATTATAATATTATAATTTTTTATTTGTTTCTATGGTGATAAACAAAGCGTTATAAATTAAATTCCCATTTTTAGCGGTCTTTTCGTAATTTTTCTGTGGTTTTTCCCCTGGCATTATATAACTATTGAGAAAATCGAAAAATGAACCATCTTGATCCACTTTGCTAAAAGACAAGGTACTATACATAATGTTGAAATCGAAGCACTGCTTCTGGTAGAAATTTTGTATACAGGATATATATAAAAAAAAAATAAACACCATTGTAAAATCAATACATTCATCGTTCCACTCAGAATCTAAAAATAAACACCATTGTAAAACCAATAGCTAAAATATTCAGTAATTGAAAATGTTAACTTTTGAATATTATTATTTATCTGTAATAATGATCAGTTGTATTACCGATGCATAGATATTTTATTTACGGCGTTCTTTGTATGTAATAAATTGCATAGAAATAATTAAAAATGTACTGTGGTAAAAACGCCTTTTAATTGTGAAATACGATTTAATATGCTCCATTTTAATTTTAAAAAAATATTATTATTTACATTTTAAATAAAAATTAAAACATATTATTTATAAATTATAATTCAATTAAAACGATCAGGGCTTTCCAGCACATTGTGGTATTATTTACTTAAATTAAATGCTGGCTGCATTGAATTTAAACTAAACTTTGCTTAGTCTCCATTTTATAATTTGTAAATAATTTATTAATTTCTGTAAGAACAATTGTTGATTATAATAATTAAATTAATTACCTGAATTGAATGTTCTTGTTAAAAATATTAAATAATAGAATAGATTGTCCAACCAAACTTGAAAAAATCTATTGGAAAATGAATATAAATAAAACTCGTAATAATGATACATTCCTAATCATTTATACCTAAAATAAAAATTAATTACTCACTATAATTATCTCCTGTAATAACTTTTATATCAGCCTTAATTCAGCTGATGTTGACTTATTTTCTTTTAATCATATCGATATACAATGAATATGTATTGCCTAACAATATTCTGTACCTATCTCTTATTAATTATTATTAGGTGTTAAGTTATTCTCTGTGCCTATGCATAATTTATTTCCTTATGTTAGCTTTAACTTAATAATTAACTTTCTTTGTATACTAAATATAATCTACATAATATTCACGACTATATATGTATGTGTACTCTTAATTTATCATATAAGTAGAATTTATTTCTGTACAAATACATAAATAAATAAATAATTAAATTACCTATTTTTATTTTTATGTAAAAATATTCATTTTTTATAATCGAATCATTGTTTAGTATTTAATATTCATACTTATATGTTTTACTTAACTGTTATCAATTTCATTAATATTTTATTTTGTTTACACTTACTAATAAGTAATATTTTATTTTTATTCTCCAAATTATTATAATCATTTAGATTTTTTATATTTTTAGGCGTTAATACATAAATGTTTAGGTGCATTTTTATTGCATACACTAAACGCCGTTTTTTTTAAAAGATCTTCGAATTAGTTTTATATATATTTTTACACTGCAAATATTTTATTTGAATGTACAAATTAATTCTGGAATAATTCAAAACACAGGCAATGTAAAATTTATCTTACTTGGTAGGTAGGCTATGTTTAGGATTAAATTCAAATTAGAATCGTCATAGATCAGAATCCACTTATTTGATAACCTTATGGCTTATATGATTTGAGCTAATTTAATACAAAAAATCCTTTATGAATTAAAAACTTAATGGTTAGCAAATTTTTGTTTAGCGATTGTTAAAATTGCATCTGGTAATTAGTAAAATATGGTACGGCACGACCAAGTCAAATAGATAGGTTGGTAGTTAGCATTAATAATTATAATATTTTATATAAATACGGAAAAACACATTTTTAACAATATGTATAATTAGTACAATTTATTCTATAGAATTGTTTTTTTTACATTTAAAAAAAAAATAATAAAAGTTATTTATAAACTATTATTATTTATTTAGTCTGTGTTAGTAGTATCTATTAAAAAGTTCTTTTATTTACTTTAAGGTGGTTGTACTTTGCTTATGATCATTTTATCTATTTATTTTGTTGTGTTATGTAAGTAGGTTCTTTTTATTATTTTATAGTTTTCTCATTGATTAAATATTTGAATATATTTGAATAATAAAAACGCATTATATGCTTGTTAACCGGTAATTATTTAAATTTTATTTTTGTTCCCGCTAATTAAATGTTTGGGTATTGATGTTAATCATTAAAAATATCGAACGTGATTCTCTATAATAATAATATCAAACATTCAAACACGTATGCAAATTGCAAAAAAATATCCAATTTGGCGTTACTTGAAAAGCTTAGGTATTTCGTCATTGTAATAATTATGTACAAATAATTTAAATCTTGTGTAGTAATTATTAATTAATTATATCATAGTAATTTTTGGCGTGGCTGTGGTGCAGGTAACGAGAATTTGTTTAAGCTCTTAAGGCCTGATTGATAAATGGGTAGAAATTACTATTCGATTGCCATATTAGTAGTGATATTATCAATAAAATATAATATATTATAGTCCATCTAAATTCAAGTTGAATATTATTTTCTATTAAATCACACAAAATAGAACTAGGTACTTATCCTTCTTGTCAAATCCTTTTTGAGTATTTTAACATATAAAAATAACATCAGAGATAATTTCGAGATATCAGATGTACCTTATTATTTCTTTTGCCTAATTGGTGGCAAAATAGATCTAGTTAGACAGTTTAACCTACCTAAGTAATATTTCCAAGATAATCGTTAAACTAAAAAAAATTATGTCAAAAGGAGAATATATTTACCCAATGGCCAATACTAGCTTGGGAAAACGTTGATTTTGTTATAATTTTAATAGAAAGAACCGCAGATAGCCAGATAGGTTCTTGAAATTGTCATTAACTATTAATTTTACTAGCTAATTTTCTAGATATGATATGATTTTCAAAATATTTTGGATATTTTTGAGCAATTTGTAGGAATTTTTTTTAAGTCTTAGAATTTTTTACAGTTTTTTTTACTTATGTTGATAACATTTTTTAGGTTTTAATTGTTTAAATTTTTATGTGACAACTGACAATAATGTCAAAAATTTTAAATGGTAAATTTAGGTTCCTCATTAGTTTTTTATACTATAGCACTAAAAAATATCGGAAATACTTAGAGACACAGTTGTTTTTTATAAGCGTTAGAAGTATTATTATGATGAATAATTGAATATTTAAACGAACAATCATAACTTTTCCTCTAAAAATTTTGGTTACCTTTTTGTTATTCAGTATATAGTAATAGAGGCTGAAACGCGGTGTTCGCTCAGAATTGTTTTTCGTATACAATGATTAACTTGATGTCTTGATATATTATTGTATAATATATTTATTATTACTATAAAACAATTTTTTAATGCATTTATGATAAAAAATTTCTAATACGCATAGCCTCAATTTTAATGATAGGTATGCAACAGCTTATTTGTTAAACAAATGTCATGGGTAAGATGTACTTACCTTATTATTTTGAATAGGTAGGTACATATAGGGATGAAATTATAACGCCCGGGATTTGAATATTTTTTTTTTATCAAATGAATGCTTACTATTATTCGACTAAAAAAATTTTCAATCTATTCATTATAACAGTAGGTATTTTGTATACCTTTAGAATTATCATATATTTTTTATAGGCGTGGAGACGTGGAGTTTTTATTGGAGGTACAGAGTGTTCTCACTTCTCTGTCTAATGACCAGTGACACTATTAACTCCAAAATCAAGTCCTGATATGTTGTTTTAATTGGTATACCTATAAAGATTTATATAAATCCTTCTCTACTGCCTCGGACTAGATGCCCAATATTCTTCCGAAGTTTTATAGATAAAATATTTCAGTTTTTCTGTCGCATACATTTCACGTTACTTGGCTTCTCTCGTGGTCTGTTTATCAACGTCGCTTATATAGGCAATTTTGCCTATCACTTTTTCTCCGACATCAAATTAAACATGCGATGTGGACATGTAGTGTAATTTAAGTTGCTCTAACCCATAAACAATCAAATAATATTAACTCTGTCGACTAGATCCTCATTCCTTGTGTAGTCTCTTCGCCCTCCTAACACCATCTTGTAGTTATTTCACGCATACACAACTCGCTCCTCTATTTAACTCAACGCTCGTTTGGTGGAAAAAAGTCCTTCATAATATTATAATACACTGGTCCTTGAAATGTTTTTTTTCATAATCTCGTTCGTTTTCTTGTATTTTTTTTAGGAGCGGTGTTCCTATATGTATCTATATATGATCTGATATTTGATTATGTTTATTGTTTCTGTCATATTTGTTGTTAGGTCCGTTTTGTTGACAAAAAAAGAAAATAATGAATAGACACAAATATTTATACAGAACATTACTATATTATATGTTAACAAAATATAAATAGTAACTCATGACAGTATAATACAATTATTGTAGTTCGTATAATGTTTATGAATATTATATAGAAACAACAAGAGAAACTTAGGCAGGTAGGTAGGATGTAGGTACTGTTGCATTATATAGAAAATTATATAAAAATTATAGTAATAATATGTATGAAACTAAAAAAATAAGTTTAAGACCTTATAATAAATGTAATAAAAGTTTATAAATAAATAAAAGTTTTCGTTGGAATACCGCAATTTATTAATATCTTCAACGTCGGCGTGTCAGCACACGTTGTCGTGATGATAGTTCACTATCGGGCGTGGGCGGTATGTGTGGTATACCTGTAGGATGATTGTGCAGTGTGTAATCTGGTTCAGTGGGGTGGTGCGGTGGTGGCGGTCACTATTGTACCCTGTCAGTGGTAAGCCGGGTACGTGTGGTACGGCGACGGTGCGTACGCTTTGACGGCCGGGTAGATTGGCGCATAAGCGTTGACGGCCGCCGGGTAGACGGCTGCAGGCGCGGGCGCGTACGACTTGACCGGGTAAGCGGCGCGGGCGGGCACGGCTCCGTAGCCCTTGGCCAGCGGTTCCTTGGTGACGACTGCGTTGAAACCGTTGTGCGGGTCCGCGGTGTAGTCGACCGTCCTCCTGGTGCCGTCGGGGTCTACCAGGCTGTACGACCCGTGCACCACGTCACCGTGCCTGCTCTCGTGCTGGCTCTTCGAGTCTCCCGTCAGCTGATCGTGCACGTCGTATGCGTACGAGTACGACGGGTTCGGGTCGTAGTCCGCGTCGTACGACTTGGGAGCCGCCGCCGCATAGTACGGAACCGGCGCGTATAGGGCGGGCGAGTACGGGGTGGCCTCGTAGGGGTAGGCCGCGTAAGGGGCGGCCGTGTACACGGGGGAACCGTGCGCCACCGCTGCCAGGACCGACGTCAATACTGCGAACTGAACAAATAATTAAATAATTAGAAATTACCCGAAATACACGAATATACCACTGACGTGGTTTACCTGAAGGTTTAACATTTTTCATTAGAATTATTGTCACTTAGATATTAATATAGACACACAATTTTGTCTCCTTTTTTAATGTATTTTTTGCGGTTAGTTAGATTTTTTAGATTTTATTATACCTACACCTAATTATTATTTAACTTTTAAATTAAATCAACTGTTTTTGGTCTAGAAAATTACTAGATATCTGAATATTTAGATCGATATTTTGTAATTTTAGTTATAGTTACAGGCTCGTATATCATGTAGTAATATCATTGATTATAAATAAGTAATGGTAATATTTAACAAGTTGAAATAATATTTCAAGAAATAATTTATACAAATTATGATCGGTATAAGGTTTTAGAATTAACTTTTCCCTCAACTTATATTAACCCGATTAACCGTTATTAATCACCCTAATATAGGTACGTATTTTTTTTATTTTTTATTCTGTTCTTGATCAACTGCATTTAACCAGCAACCGAAACCCAAAAAAATAATTCAAATGCAAAGTTCTGAGTTTAAAATAGTTTGGTAAAAAAAATATCTAGATATATTAGGGCTATTGAATGCTATAAAATCAGGTACGATTAAGCAGTCGGCGGTAATGCCACGTGTTATTATATATCAATAGATAAGTGTCTCAGTACTTTAATATTATTTATCACTATTATTATTAGGTACCTATCTAAACTGGTAATTCATACATTATTCGAATTCTAGCTCTTATCATTAATTAAAACTTTAAATAAAAAATGTCGTTCGTATGTATTACTATAAGTAGCATGCTAGCTACTAGATATTTTTCCTCTGCAAGGAAAATTAAGGAATTATAAATATTATGTTTTTGGGTATAGTACATAGGAAAAATATCTAGTAACATAGTGCTACGTTGTATTGAGAATTTATTTTTTATTCATATTTTTTTATGGTTGATTTGGGTAACTATGGCAATAAACAGAGTGTTACAAAAATCGGTTAGAAAAAAAAAGTTGTACCTAGCGCAAAAACATATCTATGTTAAAAAAATCATATTTTTGTATTATATAGTGTCGATAGACATAAACGCGTGCCTAGTGATCACCACTTTTATTATGTCTAGTGAAGTATAAATCATTCAAGTTAGTATACAATTTTTGGCGCAGATTTGAAGAAAAATATCTAGTTTTTATTTATATTAATATATGAATAGTAATATGAATATTCATGTTTATTATATGAGTTGAAAATAAACAACGAATATTCCACTATGCAACTCGTGAGCCGTTCTGAGGGCAAATTTGCTGAATAGCAATAACTATGTATATAATTTATTATGATGCGATATTTTGTTATAATGTTATAATTTTAATAAATACACTGATCCATCCTTATTCTTAAGGACGAATAGCTGCGAATTTGAGTCGGACTCGGGAGCAGCTTATATAGGTTATAGGTACGTCGTCTGAAGTGTAATTGTGTGCTTTTATATGTATATTATATTATAAAACTAGGTATGTGTACTTACCCTGAAAGCCATAATGATCGTTGAGTGTAGTGGTTTGTGATTCGGAATTATAAATATTTAAATATACGAACAACGTGTTCCGCGAGTGATGGCTCTGGAGTCCGGACGAGTGTGATGCTGGATCCATGGATGGGTGTTCTTTTTATACACTTTAAAATCGCCGGGAACCTTCCGAGACCACTCCCTGACGTTATCGCGAGCGCGCCGATGGGGGGAAAAATCATAGCTGGCCCCCCGGGGGCCTACGGCGACGACGACGATGCCTCCTTAACATTATAATAGTAATAATAATAATAACAAAAATATTATTATGTATATTATATGACGGAAAACGGGCGGCGGTACCTTATAATATGTATTGCATTATTTCACGACCTTTCACACCAAGGCGGCGCGCAGACGACCGTGGCCTCCTCTTTAGGTGCGATGTATGGTGTATAGGAGGTATATTATATTTTGTTCTATACAAAGTCAACCGTGCGCACTCATCCCCCCGAGTAGGTTTTCTTTCCTATTCTATGTTGTCTTGTCGTATTGTTGTTTTATCATGGATTTTTCCGGCGTGCGCCTTCGGAAAATATCAAATATTATGATTTGCATTGTATCCTAATATATAATATCGTCCGACGTCCAACGAGGACATCCTGACCGATGGAAACGCCACCACGTCTTCTGATGGGTTTTTTATGTCACGCGCCTAGACCAAGCCGATATAGTCCGGTTTAATAATTAATAATATAATACATATAGGTACATATATATAAATAAAACATTATGATACTATACGCGTAATCGTAGTACAAAAGCCATTATATACGGCATAAGTACTTTGTTAGAAACTTTGGCACTGCCACATCAGCTTACATATTTGTATATAACCCCTTTTGATAGTACGTAACATGTTTGGTGGAAGAACGCGCGTGGTCGATCAAATTGCAAATCCCTTACACTGGTATTTTGTTTCAAACATATTTTTTTTTATACGTTATATAATATATTTACCTTTATTATAGTATTATACCTTGTAATAATCGCCGTACCCATATACCATCCTCGACATATTTTGTCGTAAACGTATCACAGCGATATCAGTAAAACAACAATAGTTTTTAATCTGACGAAATTGGTCAATGAGCCCAACACCGCGGTGTTCTCCGACAAAAATATAATTATAAATTTATTAAATTAATTTAATTTTTATACATAGGTATAACTATAAGTGTATGATTCTAGTAAAATACTAAAATATTTTCCATTACACCTTATAAAGATATTTTATCGTTTTACAACAAAATTTCCTCAGCTCCCTGTGGACCCATACGATCGTCTCTGAAGAGCCAATAGCGATGCCCTATTGTTATATTAATGATGGTCATGGTTGTAAACGAATTTACGTGCTCGACCAAGATCGTATTTTATAGGATTAACCGACTAAATAAAAATTCAATAGTGGTAAGATGATGTCAGCGCACCATTTCGGTTTTCTCTCCCTGACCCACACTGAACACAGCAACGTTTATGTTTAGCAGAACCAACCCTGTGTGGTTGATTTTAATATTAGACTGAATATTCACCTATTATAAAATTGTAAGTTAGAATATTACCTGTGTCCCTACATTAGCTTTTTAACGTTATTTTAATTATTATACAATTTATAAGAATTTTTAAATTGTAATAAATTACACGCTCATAACTTTAATAAAAATTTGAATATCATAAAATAGTCAACTTTGGGACACAGGATTACCTTCTTAACTTAAACACAGGTAATGTTCTCAACTTATTGTGTGATTTCATGTGAATTCACTCTAATGTTAAAAGTATTGACACAGGGCTGGTTTTACTAAACATAAATCTGGTATGTTTCGCGTGGATCAGAGAGAGAAAACAAATAGTGTGCTGACTATAATTATGATTCTTTTAATATACCTAGTCAACTAGGTATTAACTATTTACAATATCATTGATGTCTAATTTTATTGGTTTGTTTGATTAAAATTTAATTTTAATTTTAATTTCTTTATTTATACCTTTCTTTCCTCAGTCTGTAGGGGTTATACCTATATTATTCTTATGTCCTAAAATCTATATTATTATTATTTATCATAATCGTATATTTTTTTTACATTTATTATTTATTACTTATACAATATAAGTTTAAGACAGTTTAAGTGAAGTTGAATGAGGATACATGCTTGGTATTGTCTTGTTGAAGATTCGGGATTGTTCTCATAATATAGTTTGTATTTCAGAACAATATATAGTTAGGCTACTTTTTAACATATTATAATACATTATAACATATATAATGATTATAATTTCTATGTTTGAACTCGCAATATTTTCGTTTTTCACGCAACTTGCGTGCGTAAATACTCGATAATTATAATATTATATACCAACAAAATAAATTACCCATTGTAATTCTAGGTCCGTTTGTTGTTAGATTTGTGATCGGAATTGCGGCGTTTATTGTTGTAGAATACCTACTTCTTTTAATAACTCGTCGAGTTGATTCATAATTGTATTATTTTTGTAAATATTATCTAACCCAACTCCCAGATCCCTCCACTTACCCACGGTTGAATTTTAAAACGTAAAATAGTTGATTCCTATACTATTTGCAGAGTCACTATTTCGATCCATAAAAAATAAACAAATTCTCGAAAACAGTTTAATTATTTTTCCTTTCATAAATTCAAGATTTTGACAAATGGTTATTTTAAAATATTGTATAATATATGTTTTTTATAAGCTGCGTTAAAGTCTCTTACATGCATTAATCGTGTGTCACGATTTATGAAGCACGGAAAGCTCTATACTATAAATATATTATAAACAGACTTCGTTGTGGGCTTGGTAATAAATAATACTTGAAATATTTTTATTGGAAATCTGTGATTACGCACACGAGTATATATAGTGAGTGCTATCTTCGTATTAATTTTGGTTGAAATAGTTTATAGTTATGTAAATATACCTACATAGTTGTACATTTGATCACATCATTGTTTTAATTAACCTACATGTATTTTTTTTTATTTCACTTCAGTTATTTACATCTACGTAAGGTCAGCTTAATCATTATTATATTTATCAATTAATTACATTCAAAATGCAAAATATAAATAACATTGAATAAACAGAACGTTTCTCTATATTATAAATAGGTACTTAATATATTTAATAATATACATAAATAATATTTCCTCTAAAAAATTGGGTTTACATGTTTCGTTAATCTCTCATCAAACCAATGGATGGAAATGTTGAGTCATATTAGGTATAGATGTTTAAAATTTTGAAGTTGGAAAACGCTGATATGATTTTACGTTTGAGGTACCTTAACCTTATGCTAGCTTATAGAAACCAGCTGAGATTTAATCTACAGATTTCGACTGAATCGATAATAATTGTATGAGGCTAGGTATATTATACTACATGGACGTTTATGATATTTTGAAAGCATATATTTTATATATTAGGTATCCACAACATAGGATTATTTTCCAACAAGAAACTAAATTAATGTTTACATACCTATATAACAACAATACCGTCATGTAGTACAATGGTCGTCTACTCTTATAACGTCGACTGTCGAGGACATGATAATATTATCTTATAATATGTGTACCTACCGTTGTTATTCTTGGACAGAGCAAAAAAGTCATATAAAATCTCAAACGCCTATCCCCAATATTTTATTATACTAGATGGGACATTGAGAAAATACGCGTCATCAATAAGTATTATTATTTATTACTATGTCGAGTACCTATCTATGCGGTGGGGTGGAATTAATCTAGTGATTATATTGCAACACGTGCGTTTAAATCCATAATATGGCATAATAGGTATATATAATATATATAATGTATAACAATAATAATAATAATATGTGGTGGTGACCTTTTCCGTTGTCCGAATAGTATATAATATACTATAATATAATAATATATATACGTATACGTACAATATAAAAATAATAGTAATAATTATAGACATTTTCGATTCCCGTGAACAATATGGGATATAATAACGATTATTATACTAATATTATTATTATTATATTATTGTATACAACTCGGGGACGCGTATTATACTATACATTATAGATCGTGGAGCGTGATCTCTGCAGCGGCTCCAGTCGCGATGTTTCACGTATACCATAATACATATACCTAGGTACCTATTCTATAATATTATTATGTATTTATATATCGATATCGTCGCTATATGCGGGCGGTGAGTTAAACTCGTCGGCGTTCACGATTGACCCTGAACCGGACACAAACGCGTCTCCGTTGTGAAATACGATCTGCGGCAGCACGCGTTTCCGTGCAGACATATCGGACCAGCAGACTCGCATGCGGATCGGTGTAAGAATAGATTGTTGATGCTGCTGCTAAAAACTAACCCTTTCAACGACGTCGACGTACGCTTCGCTTGCACTTATAGGTATACCATTATTTTTGAGTATAGACGAGAATCGCAAATATGGCTATATTATAATATATTATAGCCGATCGACGAAGAATCGCATAATATAACTATATAAGTATCACCTTGTATTATATTGTTGCATATATATTATTACGTACGTCATCCATCTGCTGGCACTATTTTGATTTTATAATTTATACGATTCAAAAGTTTCGTACTGATATAAATGCCATTTTCCAAAAAACAGTGGTACATGAGAGGGTAGTGGTGATAAAAATCTCCCCCCTCTCTTAACTCTTTGTCTTAGACTCAATTTGAATGATTTAATAATTTATTTTGTATGAAATATATACAGGATGTCCCTCGAGAATTTACCCATTGCGACCCATTTACACATATTTTATTTTTTAATTAAATTAATTTTTTAGTAAATAAGTTAAAAAAGTTATATTTTTATTTTTGAAACAATTAAAGATAGCCGTTTTATAGAGTTTATTTTTGTGAAAATTTTAATTTTTCTACATTTTATTTTCATCAATCTCATGATCTTTATTTTTTTTTATTTT